ACCCCCGGTCCCCCCATTTTCCAGCTCATTGGCTCCCCCGGGAAATGAGCGATTTTCTCAATTTTGTCAACGCAGAAAATGAGCTTATAAATCAGAGAATACTCCGGTGAAGTTATTTAGCTCATCTCCATAAATTAGCCGAATACACATGTTCCCAAATTCAAAATATTATTTTCTAGCCCAAAATATTTAAGCAGAAAATTTATGGTTTGCGCAGAAAAAAAGCATGTAAAAAGCTCATAATTTAGGACCTCATAATAAGCCGATCCGATGACCTCCGGTCCCCTCATTTTCCAGCTCATATTGGCTCTCCCGGAAAATGAGCGATTTTCCCAATTTTTCCAACGCAGAAAATGAGCTTATAAATCAGATAACTCGTGAGTCCCGTTTTTCGACCCATTCCTATGAATTGGCCGCCTAGCTTGATGCCCAAATCCTGAAAATCGATTTTTCGCCGAAAATATTTGAGCAGAAAATTTTTGGTTCGCGCAGAAAAAAAGCATGTAAAAAGCTCATAATTTTGGACCTCATAGTAAGCCGATCCGATGACCCCCGGTCCCCCCATTTTCCAGCTCATTGGCTCCCCCGGGAAATGAGCGATTTTCTCAATTTTGTCAACGCAGAAAATGAGCTTATAAATCAGAGAATACTCCGGTGAAGTTATTTAGCTCATCTCCATAAATTAGCCGAATACACATGTTCCCAAATTCAAAATATTATTTTCTAGCCCAAAATATTTAAGCAGAAAATTTATGGTTTGCGCAGAAAAAAAGCATGTAAAAAGCTCATAATTTAGGACCTCATAATAAGCCGATCCGATGACCTCCGGTCCCCTCATTTTCCAGCTCATATTGGCTCTCCCGGAAAATGAGCGATTTTCCCAATTTTTCCAACGCAGAAAATGAGCTTATAAATCAGATAACTCGTGAGTCCCGTTTTTCGACCCATTCCTATGAATTGGCCGCCTAGCTTGATGCCCAAATCCTGAAAATCGATTTTTCGCCGAAAATATTTGAGCAGAAAATTTTTGGTTCGCGCAGAAAAAAAGCATGTAAAAAGCTCATAATTTTGAGCTATTGACCGACTCATTCTGAGTACCCTGGCCGCCCAGCTTGACGGAGCTGAGTATTGCGACTCGGGGGAGTTTTCAGAGTCAAGTGTGAATCAGCCGGGACCCCTCAGAGCCTGGGACGCCGAGAGGCTGATCCGACCAAAAAAGAACACTGTTATCCACTTCACGACCACCTACACTCTCGGCCACCAGTTACCGCTTCGGTCATCGCTCGTTACCGTCTCCGGGTACTTGAATGTCGGCACATGGTCGGGTCGACAGGAGGACGATCTCTACTCCAGACTCACGGGCCCATGTGCTCGGCATTTGTTTCGCTGAGCCGGATAACGCCGGAAACAACAAAGTCGTCACTTCATGTGCCGAAATAACTCCTTTTTACTAGCGGGGGATGCAGGAGCATCCCCCTACGCTCATNACGATCTCTACTCCAGACTCACGGGCCCATGTGCTCGGCATTTGTTTCGCTGAGCCGGATAACGCCGGAAACAACAAAGTCGTCACTTCATNTCAGCATTTATTTCGCCGAGCCAGATAACGCCGGAAACAACAAAGTCGTCACTTCGTGTACTGAAATAACAACTTTTTACTAGTGGGGGATGCAGGAGCATCCCCCTACGCTCGCCGCCAATGGTTATTCACCCAGGCTACGTGGAGTCCGAAACTCCTTATCATGGCTTCTTCAGCCATTCCTCAATCCAGCACACCGAGAGATTCTTTCAACCTCTCGGTTCAAGCGCTCGCGTTCGACTAACTCGGAATCTTACTAGGGCCTTGCCTCCTAGTCTGGGTATTTCGGCGACGATAGGTCATTCCGCTTTCCTATCCCCACCGATCAACCCGACGGGATCATGGAGGTACCAGTCCTTTCACCTCGCCGTTGGTCCCCAGTCTACTTCGACACAGCCTTTAGAATCGCTCAGTTGGACAGCCTGTACGTCGGCCCCTTTTCCCCTAGCACATGCTGGACGAATTCTAAAATAGCGATAGTCTAGTAGTGTCCTATAGACTTCCAGGGGTCGCGGTTCCACCCAAAACCGCTATGCCTTCAGCCTGTCATCGGTCTGTGGCTCTTCTCATCCAGTCGCGGCTCTTTCAGCCGCCTCTAGATGTCACTTCCTGTCTTTCTTATAATAAGTTTTATATGATACGTGCGTGAAATCGCATGGGTTTCAGTTGACTATAGTCAACTGGAAAGTAGCGGGTTTCGAGCGCCTATCCACACTCAACTAAAACCCGAAATAACGTATGACGCGCATGCGCATCACCCATTCAAAGAGAATAACAAGGAAATCTAACCTCCGAATAGTGGATACATAGAATGACTGAAAAATGAAAAGGTGATTTTCGAAGCAGATAAAATGAGCCAAAATCGTATAATTCCTGATAGTGATGAAGAGTTAGGCCGTGAGGAGAATTTATTTACTGATGAGGAGGAGTTGATTGGTGATGTGACATTTGAAGAAAATGGAAATTAAATATTGTCCAATGAAGCAAATACTGTAACTTAAGGGCTTTATTGAATTCTAATGATCAAAATAATGTCAAGGAAACAGAGAAAAATTATTTTTGCTTTTTAGAGACATGTCACAGAATTCACCAAAACTTCACTGAAATTTGGTGATTGATTTCTAGAAATTAGGGATAAGTCATTGAGAATTCAGTAACGAAAATGAAATTTTTTAATCACACTTTTTTATAATTACTTTTTTAAATAGATGTGATCTTTTTTCTTCAGTGAAGGGGGTGAGGCCCCCTGGACCCCCTTTTCTCGTGGGGGGCTTCGCCCCCCACACCCCCCACTCGCCCCCCCTCCGCCGCCAAACTTCATCACGCACTTATCATATAAAATAATATACGCAACACGTGCGGACAGCAGGCGGTACCGCCTGCTTTCCGCACTAGTTACGTAATGTACTATAACAGTTCTCTTTCCTATTTAAGGGGATTTCAACCCGTAACGAGAAAATCTCGTTACACTGGTTAACTGATAAAAAATGCCGGGATGTGTAGCGGATTACTGCACTAATTCTACAGCGAAGGGTTTTAAGATGAACTATTTTCCGACTGATCCTGAGAGAAGAGCTATTTGGATTAAAAACATGAATCGTGAGGATTTTGTCCCAACTCGTCACTCCACACTGTGTGAGATATGTCATGTTTTGATGTAATTCTTTAACATGGTATGTAATTCTTTATATTATTCCTGATAGGTTCATTTCCAGCCTACAATGTGGGAAAAACCTCGAGTAGATGGTAAAAGGAGGCTTAAACATGATGTAGTTCCTACATTACTTGGGAAAGATCTAAGACGTCAGAATCCAATGTGTAACATGGCTCCTGAAATTCTCTCTACTGGTAATGTACATCTATTTACACAGAATAATTTCAAAGTAGAAAAACGTAATAATCTCCAATATTATGTTGGTTGATTTCTGTCTCATAGAATATATCTTTGTTAAACAATTTTTTTAGATCTCCATTTTTTTCAGATTCGCTTGGTATTTTAATACTTCCTGGTCTTAATGTATCTGAAATTGACGCACAGAATTGAACTACAGCAGATTGTCGCACTGGGGCCTTATTTTTTGTTCCAGTTTTTAAACATTCATATACACATCTCTATCATGCTCATAAGATAACTCGAAACCAAAGTTTTTTTACAAAATCTATATTTTCATTCAAACCGATTTTTTTAAATAAACAAAATCAACAGAATATATCCATCTCTCAGAAGTCAATCAATTTTTAAGGAAAAAAAAATATATTAATGAGAAAAATCTTATTAATTGTGCTTTATGAATATTTTTCCTCTTTCAGAAGTTTGAATCACCCGCCCAAGTCACACTTCTGGTTTTGCCTGATTCCTGTGGCATCCGCCAATCTCTTACTAGAGTATCTCTATCGCGAAAAGGCCTGTAGCGCATTTCTCTATGGCTAGGTTATTACTTTGAATGTGTTGTGTACATACACGACCTCATCACCTCAGTTTTGCCCTCAAATCCAAATAGGTGGCGCTGAATGGCGTATATATACACGGCTATACATGCTCATTATTAGTTGAGAGAGATACGTTACAGACGTATATAAATTCCTGTTTTCTGGGAAAAATGGGGACACATACGCGGTCCTCGCATACGATATTCCTCCACTCGTGTGCGCGGAGTCGTATACGCATTGGGATTCACCCTCTCGAGAATCGGCAAGCAGATTTTATGACACTTTCGGTCGCGCCATAATTTAGTAAGTTTTGGGAATGCTGAATTGTTTTTTGAAAAATTATTCGGGTGATTAATCATCAGGTAGAGATTTATTGAATAACTTTTCCCGAGGTGGATTCGTCAAGTGGTAGGCTTGTAGTTTATGAAGTTTTTCGGATAGAAATGATTTTGGTAGGGTTATCCCATTGGTAGAGTTGTGATTGGTATGGTAGTCCCGTTGTAAAAATGATACTCATTTGAGAAAATGCGTTTTTCTCCCCTCGATGTATAATTCATATTTTCGTTGGGGATCAAACAATCGAGTTAATGAATGTTTATTTTTCATGTAAATAGAACTATCTGAATGAATGTTTTAATTATTTTTAATGAATTCTTTCAAGTGTAATTTTCTAGCTATTTCAACTCATTTGACGATCTGCTTTACTTATAGAAAATGTAAGACTTGAAATGAGATGTGACTTGGGTAGGGAAAAGGTGAAAGGTAGCATGAAAAAGGAATGAATGGGAGATTATGCAATGGATGGAAAAGGAGAGGACATCAATGAAAAATGAGGTGGTAGTAAAAATTGTCTCCTCCAAGGAATCAAAGGGAAGAAGGGTATTTTACAGCTTTTCGCGAAGAGACATGAAGAATAAGATGGTGTTAAATGGAATAGGATGAAGATAGAAGAGGGAAATTTATCATGATACAGCAAAGTGTCTCCTCTCACCTGCTGCTCGACTCGATACAGACGGGCACCAATCGTCATAGGTTTTATGTTGCCAGCCCGGTCGATTCCTGCTAGGTAGCTTCCCGGCTTACCAAGGGTTTGATCCAATCTCCTCTGCAGCTCCTGCAAAACAAAAAAGCCAATATTAAGGTTGAGACAGCTTCCTTCGTTTTTTTTTTAGAAGAGAGGTACTCGGGAGTAGGTACCCTCTGTTTTTCCCTGGCTTTGTCTATTTTTATTTTTTTTCCAATCTTTGTTTCACCTTCACGTCGGCGACATGATATGTCGATGGGAGTGAACGGGAGAAACAAAGAAGCATAGACGACTGTGGGAAATAAAAGTTTCAACAATGGACGAATTGTTGTGAATTGAAGGGCAAAATGTGTCCGTCAATTGAATGGTGCCGGGGGAGTTTTGAATTTTTTATAACGCTTGGCATTCAAATGCTAAGAGTTGCATAGAGAAAATATTATTCTCATGTTACGAATATTGTGTCTAATTGAAGATATTTATTTTTCTGTTTTAGAAGCTAAATGAGATTCGAGGTTTTAATATATTTCCGATTTCCAGTAACAGTCTTTAGATTTCAGTACTCCGTGGTACTGAAATCCAGAGACAAAAAGTGCTGGATTGCAGTGAGATTTCTCTGAGGATCAGAGATAAAGAATCAGAAATAAAGTTTTAGTTCTCAGTAATTTTTACTGAAATGATGGTCTGTTGTTCTGGAATCCCGTACTTTGGATTCTTAAAATAAACATTGGTTACTGAAATCAAGAACCTCGGAGTACTAAAATAGCAGTTCCTGTGGTTCTTAAAATAAACCTTGAATTTCTTAAATTGAAATCTCTTGAATTGTCTCCCTAAGGATATCCAAGTAGTTTGTAATTTTTTTTCTGGAGGGAATCTTCAGAAATTATAGAATAGACCAAGAGTATTTTGTAGACGCCATATCAACTTTAGTTTTAGAACATTTTTTCGAGAAAACTATTTTTGACTTTGTTCGTTATACTTTCTAGTTTTTTGTGATATTAAAAAACATAAGTTTCCGGACAAATGATTGTAAACAATTAAATTAAAAGCTTATTGATTGTTACAACGTCCATATGGGGTGGTTTGAATCCGTGCGCTCGTGACGTTTGGCAATGCTCCACTCAAGTGATTATTCGCACCGAAGTTACGAGGTTATCTGGAACACATGCGCAGTGTTGCTGTATGATCATTAGAGGTTAGACCAACTAGAATCAAGTGTGAAATTGAATAAAATATGGTTCACAGTAGCGCTACCCCGGCTACTTTGTTGAAAACAATGTACTTCCATTCATCATCTGTTGAATTTTCATATTTCAATAAGTAATTCGGAAATTCTTGTGCTCACTGGATAAGGTCTAGATATCACTATAAATGAAATCTTACTCAACAAAACCCTCTTTTCCATTTCACTTTGGTCCTCTACAGACGCATTCAGTAATTTTTCTGTTAACATTATTTAACCAATTCTGATGGCCTCCAGAATTTGGAGTATTCTCTTCCCATTCATAATTTTTCCACAATTTCATTCGACGATTCCATGAACTTGAAAGTTTTCTAAAACTTCGAAAATTTCCTTGCCTTTCTTTCCTTCCTTCCTTTCCTTCCTTAAAGAACTCAAGAATTCTGGGAAATTGGTGCGAAAACTCGAGAAATTTCTCAAATATTCAAACTCAACTACGCCGTTTTTATTTCTACAAATTAGAGTGCAGTGTTCGGAGTCATGTGACACTTCCACATCATCTTTATTGTGCAGCCCTTTTTTGTGTTAGCCTTCTCTGTGAGTTTACATGGATTTTACAATATTTTCGCTGGTAATAGCCAAATTTGTGTGTACATAGATGGAGAATATCGACTGATAAATATTATTGTAGATTATTTTCTCTTAAATTTTTTCGAAGAAATTCCCGAAAAAATGTACTCAACACTTTTTTGGGGAATTTCTTCGAAAAAATGTACTTGATAATGAAAAATCCGAAAAAAACATGGGAATGGCAAGACTTTCAGCAAATCTAAAATCTTGCTTGAAAAACGTTGCTAATGTGAACGAAGTACTTGGATATCCTTAAGTTATCTTCATTCATTATGGTGTGACCTCCCAACGTAGGCAACCTCCTCCCCGCTTCGTCACAAATAATCACAAATTACAAAACTTCCTCCCCTTTTCAATCGCGTGCCGCAGTATTTGAATTCTCCACAACGGTTCTCATTTTACGGACCTAAGGTTCTTGATTTCAGTACCGTGGTGCTGGAACCCCGCAACTTTTTTTTGTGATCATTAAGGTAAAAGATTATTCTTTCTTTTATTATTCAGAAGCATTAAGAAATTGTATTACTCGTTCATGGCAATAATATTCCCCTTAAGGATAATCAGGCGAGCCCGGAGAGTTAGAAAAAAAGCAGCCATTTTTTTCTTTTTTTTTACGTATTCTTTAAATGATGGAAAAGGCGTGTGCAAGGTTTCAGACTGCTGGGTTATATGGTTTATTTATTATGAATTTTTGAAAAAGTGGTCATTTAACCCGTGATCTTATGGAAATCACAAAAAAACTGTAAAACCTAAGGAAAAAATGCAGCCAAAGTCATGAAACTTTAGACACATTTAGAACATGTGATCAATGATTTTTTGAGTGAAAAAGATTCTCACCTAGAAGCATTGTTTTTAATAATAGCGAAAAAAGTACTGAAAAATGAAATTTCTGCGCACGCAGCCCAAACGAGCAGCAACGTCCCAAGGTACCGATCGGATGGGGGTAGCGCGGTCAATTTAAACGTCTCTTGAGAGAGAAGCGATAAAGCGTTGCGATTGGAGCTGCCTCGAGCCAGTGGTACCAGTTCCTGGTGAAAAAAAAAAAATACCGACGATGTTGCCACTTTTTCGCATGGATTAATATTTTTTCATTTATTAAAAAAAAAACAATCTGAAAACCATTCAATGCGTGGAACAGATACAAATGAATTTGATTAGCTCCAAAAATAATTTTTAACCGAAGATACTCCTTAATATTGCCTGAATTTTGAATCCGAATGGAAAAATTTTTTTTGTTCAGCGATTGGTTTTCTGCAGGAAAACAATAGAAACCCCTCCGCCTCACCTCCTACATTTCCTCCTCGCCCGATTATGCTTAATAAAAATTATATAAAAGTATCATTAGATGTAACTACATCTCGTTTTGAAAAAACAAGTCAAATATGTAAGTTTTATATGTTTATGTTACAAATTTAGCAACAATTCACATTTTGACATTGAATATTTGAATGATTCAAATAAAATAATAATCCGAAATGACAAGAAAAATCCTCTATCGTCCAACTCCTGTCGTCAAACCTCCCAATTGATATTTTAAAACGTACATATTTTTAAATCTAATTAACTCAACCACGCTGGCCCCTATAGAACATTCGTGTTTGCCTAATCCGCGTAGTTGCGGAGTCCCGGGTCGTGCCGCTGAACGTTCGTCGATGGCGAAGTAAAACCAGGTAAATAAATGAGAAAGGAAAATAAAAATATATAGCAACTCGTTTAGCTCGTAAATTGCGATTTATTCCTGGCTGCTTAAATATAATTAATTCAGTTCATTAAGGAGGTACACAGCTTACCTTAATTCTAACCATCATATTCAAGTGCCCCTGGCTATACTGCTCGATTACGTCGCGCACATCATAGGGTTTTCTCGCCTGTTGAAATTTCCTTCGTGCCACAAAATATTTGATCTTTCTGATGGCTCTTATCGCATTTCTGTGTGCCTCTGTCAGCCTGGAAAATACGAGGAAAGCAATACATTAGATATATTCATTGTGAGCACTGAGCAGAATGACGATATATTTGTTTTTATCATGAAACAAAGTCTTCTCCATATCGCCACAATACATCACGATGAGAGAATGAAAAATACGGGGAAAACCGATGGCTGTCGTTCTTCACCCTTCTATTCAACCTTTATCAACTGTGGAATGCTCCATTCTTTCCTCGAAGGCATCAAAGGGTTGAAGGATATTTTCATATAGCTTAAAAACTGACCAACCATTCGACAAAAAGACGAGCACAGGTGGGGAATATTGAGAGGTGTCGAGGGAGACGAGTCAAAAGGCAAAGGCCTCTTGGCACGGCTGGTCGAACTATTCGTGTTACTATGGATGGTTTTTGTAGCACGATAAATCTAGGGCATCGTATAAAACGGGCTTGTGAAATGCACGCGCGTGCATACAGTAACAAAGAGGGGTGAGTTGCTTTGGGATGCAACAATGCTATGTACATCAACAATTCCGGATTCTGTTACCTGTGTTAGATTAAGATGAATCGGACATAACACAATTATCAATTTTTAACGTGGATACGTCTATGGTTTCAATATGGGGGGAGTCATTTTGGAAAACGGTCCTTGTGTGCAGTGCCATCTATCGGAAGTTTAGAAAATTCTGGGCATTTCGAGGTAATTCGAGAAGTTTCTAGAAATTTCGACGAAATTCAGGGAGTTTCTAGAAAATTCGAGGGAATTCAAGGAGTTTCCAGAAAATTTGAGGGAATGCAAGGAGTTTCTAGGAAATTCGAGAAAGAAGGAAAGACCATGGACGTATCCACGTACAATTACAGCTGTATCAAAGATACAGCCGCGCGCAAATTTTTTGTTCGGTATTGGTACTCACGTCGTAACTCGTTGTGGCTCATCGATGTCGATGTCGATTTCGTCACTCGCCGCTTCTGTCACTGAGCTTGTCTGAGATGTGAATAAACTACCCCTAGAAATAACAATGTCCCTTCAATTTTATTGACGTTGATGAAGTTTATTCGACGAAATTATTCGTCACTGATTGAAAGTGAACTCATCATTTGTGGAAAAAAAAACAGTTTGTCGATTGATTAATTCAAACTGCAACTATTATTGGGGTAAGTCAGGGTGGAATGAACACACGGGTGAGATGGACTTTCGCGTTTATTTCCTAACGGCACGTATAACATGTTTGAAGGTATATGCACAGAGTAAAAAGTTGTGGTTTGCAGTAGCAATCTAGAGAGCAAATTTTGTATTTCAATGAAATTTTTACAGATTCTAAGAGAATTCCTTGAGAGTTAGAGAAAAAATTTCTAGTTCTCAGGCATTTTCAGTGAGCTCTACACTTTGGTTCTAAAGTCCACTATTTTGGATTCTTAAAATAAAACCTTTAAGCAGAACCTTGGAATTCTTGAATTTACATTCATGTAATTGTTAATAATATTAATATTATTAATAATAATTATGATTAATATAATATTTTTTAGATGCAATATAATTATTGCATCCAAAAATTTTTTTTTTAAAGTTTAGAAAAATTGGCTGAATTTTCCGGGAAAAGAGCTTAAATAGAATTTAAGGGAAAAAAGTTAACAGAAGTTTAAGTTTTTTTGAAAATTCAAGTGAAGTCTCAATTTTTTAATGGCAGGAAAATGGAAATTCCACAATTTACATGAATTTTTAAGTAAAAATGAATCTTCATTACCAAATTTCCTTAAATTTTCAGGGAATTCCTTTAAAATTTTTGGAATTTTCTTTCAGGAAGCTTGAAACAATTCCTTGAAATTTCAAAGGAATCTAAAACCGAAGGAGAGATTTCTCTGAATTTTCGTGATGTTTCATTAATTTTCCCGGAATAATTAAAAAGAAATTTACAGTGCCCATGGTGTTTTTTTCAGGAAATTATGAATATTCAATGACAAAATTCTTTGAAATTTCAGTGGAAAATTTTTAACAGTATCCCGCGGTTTTGAATTTAAGGACTTTTCTCATTGAAAGGGATGTTTTTGGTACTGAATTTTAGTGATTGTTTCACTGAAACTGAGCGACTACTGTCTGGATCTCACTGCTATGCCTTTTAAAACCACGAGTTTCTGCACTCCAGTACCTTGGTTATAGAAACCAGAAACTTTTTTTCTATGCGATTGAAGGGGAGTCTTACGATCGACCGTTCGATAATCTTGGTCTACACCAAGATTGTCGAACGGTCGATCGTAATTTTAGGTCACTTCAACTCTACCTTGCCATTTCCATTATCTGCCATTATAATATATTTTTCTTTTCTTCTTTATGCAATCTTCAAATAATCCATTGAACTTCTTAGAAACCTTCATAATGGTTTATTCCGCCTTTCACAATTATTTTTTTCAGATGAAGTACTTCCTGACTTGCTCGGTGAATAGGGAGAAATTGATATCACTGGTTATTCAGGTTCTGCCTTTTTTTTCATGGAAATTTTCTATCGTTAAAAGAATAATGTCAATGTACAAGATTTTTCTTTATTTTTTTGTGTTTGAAATAATTTATGGGATTGAGTAATCAATGAATCCATGGAATTGTCAATATGTCTGAATAAAGGATCATTGCGCCTTAAAATTTCGTATTTTCTTGACGGAAAAAGAATCTACTGATTATTACTGTTCGATTTAAGTAAATGGAGAGTGATATTTGGTTTCACGGGCTTTTACTAAAAATGGAGGAAACTGTGAGGCAATACATGATCGTAACGGAATTTGTCGGTAACTATACTGAGAAAAAAATGTATTGTCGCCAAATATCCATTTACTTGAGAGAAATGTTTATTGTTTCAGTACCGTATTTCTCCAGTCGAGTCATTACCAGGCAATTCTCATTAGGTTTCAATTATGACAATTGTATTGCTTTAGGAGATGATTATATATATTAGTTATGACCTTGAATGAACTCCCTCAATCATTATCAGAATTTAAAAATTAATCAAAATTCTTCCCTTTAAAGAATAGGGAATTTAGGAAAAATGAATTATCATTGGAGGAGTTCATTCAAGGTCAGGTGCAACATATTCATCCTCTAGCACAATACGATTATCATAGTTGAAATCTAATCAGGCTCGCCTGGGAATGACTCGATTGGAGAAATAAGATTTTGAAAAAGAAATACTCTCAAGTAAATGAATATTTAGCACAAATAATTTTTCTTCTCAGTACATCAGTAAAATTTATGCGTTTGTGATGTGAAAATGCGACAAAATCTATCAATTTCACGGTACTTTCTGCGAATTGTTGTGGTACATCGCTCGATGATTTTTTTCTTAACTCCTTATGATGATTTTTTCTTTATTCCTATTTTCCATTATCATTGAAAATTATTTTTCATCACTTCTGTGTAAAGTGAAATTTTACGCATGCTCCGCTCGCGCACAATCTCATTTTCCTCACATTATGATAAAAAATAGGGTTCGACACTCGTGGGAAAAGTGTTCTTTGACCCTTGGGAGGGTACCACACACCTCCCACGGATCAAAAAACAATTTTTTGTGATACCTGCCCGAAAAGTGCACTTTTCAAAACGGTTTTGTGTGCATAAAGCAGTTGTTTTCCACACGGCGTGCGTAAAGTGAATCCTTATGCGTAAGAGTAATACCACAATGGACATCACTCTTACCGCATAACGTACGCAACGTGTCAAACAATCGCTCAACTATTTTTCGATCATTTGTGACAATAGCAAGGGTACATCTGATGTTGCATTCATTGTGGCATAACCCTGAGGCGTCGCTTTAGGCACTCAAAGTTCACTTTACGCACGCTCTTGAACTTTACGCACTAGTAACACAATATACTATTACTCACTCATATCAAAATATACAATTCTTTACATTTTTCCCCTATGCATTCTGTTCATACAATCCAGCAGAACAAAATAGAATTTTTCCTGAATACAATCGCGTGATTGAAACGATGATTCACAATCTTCCGCTTGAGGTGTCCATCTCCCCCTGACTCACCCTATCTTTATCAAGCAACTCTTTCGTGAGGAGTAGAATGAAAATAATCAATAGTATAGGGGAGGTTGGGGTAAAACGGACACTTTTGATTTTTTTTTTTAATGTTAATGAGGGGTTGAAACGTTGATAAAATTTGATAATTTTTTTTTCAATGNTTCTCAGTACATCAGTAAAATTTATGCGTTTGTGATGTGAAAATGCGACAAAATCTATCAATTTCACGGTACTTTCTGCGAATTGTTGTGGTACATCGCTCGATGATTTTTTTCTTAACTCCTTATGATGATTTTTTCTTTATTCCTATTTTCCATTATCATTGAAAATTATTTTTCATCACTTCTGTGTAAAGTGAAATTTTACGCATGCTCCGCTCGCGCACAATCTCATTTTCCTCACATTATGATAAAAAATAGGGTTCGACACTCGTGGGAAAAGTGTTCTTTGACCCTTGGGAGGGTACCACACACCTCCCACGGATCAAAAAACAATTTTTTGTGATACCTGCCCGAAAAGTGCACTTTTCAAAACGGTTTTGTGTGCATAAAGCAGTTGTTTTCCACACGGCGTGCGTAAAGTGAATCCTTATGCGTAAGAGTAATACCACAATGGACATCACTCTTACCGCATAACGTACGCAACGTGTCAAACAATCGCTCAACTATTTTTCGATCATTTGTGACAATAGCAAGGGTACATCTGATGTTGCATTCATTGTGGCATAACCCTGAGGCGTCGCTTTAGGCACTCAAAGTTCACTTTACGCACGCTCTTGAACTTTACGCACTAGTAACACAATATACTATTACTCACTCATATCAAAATATACAATTCTTTACATTTTTCCCCTATGCATTCTGTTCATACAATCCAGCAGAACAAAATAGAATTTTTCCTGAATACAATCGCGTGATTGAAACGATGATTCACAATCTTCCGCTTGAGGTGTCCATCTCCCCCTGACTCACCCTATCTTTATCAAGCAACTCTTTCGTGAGGAGTAGAATGAAAATAATCAATAGTATAGGGGAGGTTGGGGTAAAACGGACACTTTTGATTTTTTTTTTTAATGTTAATGAGGGGTTGAAACGTTGATAAAATTTGATAATTTTTTTTTCAATGCAAAGAACAATTCTTTCCTTTTGTGACGAGCCTAAACTGAGCTCAATTGATCAATTTGTTTCTGAGTTATGAATATAATTTTAAAAAAGTCTAAAGTGTCCGTTTTACCCCACCCTCCCCTAGTTGAAATAAAGCTCACCGGTTATCTCGTCTCACTCGATTGGGTGTGCCCGATTTGGGTTCTTCCATATAAAAAACCACATCTCCTTCATTATCAATCCTACTGTCAGTCTGTGTTCCCGTTGTGCCGCCCGATACAGGGACAGACGGTTGTGATGGCGTTTGCTGCTGTTGATTTTGCATCTCCATTCGATTTCTCGATTTCCGCCTCTTCAGGACACTCGCCTTTTTAGCCACCTGGATCATCAGAGACTGAACCCCCGGTGCCCTCCCATTACAACACGTCGAACACAGCATGCACTAATACTACTGTCCCACTTGTTTTTTTTTCGACAGAAAAAAGGATTTGACTCCTTTGAAGCCGTCGTTGTTAAGCGTGATGCTGGCACTCCGTCGAATCTCGTTCACATTTTTTCATTCCTCTACGAGGAAGAAAAAACGTTCGCCGGGAGTGTACAATGGAATACTTTTTTTATTGTAACAATGGAATACTTCAATGGTGATAATCGAATGAAAGATTTTTAGCATTTTTAGCAATTCAAATATTTTGATTTTCGGCAGAAGAATTTATACAGAGAATCCCACCGTTAAATATTTCCACTCTATGGTCGGATTCACTCACGCGTATGTTGAAAACAATTTGCATTGTTTGGTCAGTGGATCGAAGATTCCAGAGAATACTAGTGATTTCCATTGCAAACTTCCGAATACCTTTCTTTTTTCTACCACGTTATGAAGCATCTAAACAGTTTTGCAAAAAGCAGAGAATTTCCAGTGTTTCCATCTCTTTGTGAATTGAAGTATGTGAGATTGAGATTTCTGATGCTATTCACTCCCAACGGAATATTTATCATAGTAATAATAAGGCATGCGCATGCAGCATTACGCGAAGCAGATAATTGAAACATGAGTGAACGCCGAGCGGGTCCGCTGGGCAAAATACACTGAGATAGGTATTGAATATCACAGTTGTAATATAATGAGTAAACATGAGTTTGCGGCTTTCTAGGAAGTATTAGAAAGGCGACAGCGTTGTACTTAATGCTGTATTCAACTAATTAGTTCTAATAGTGAATGTAATTATTGTCGATTGAGAGAACTTGGATTATCGAATCACACACAGACTGTCTAGCGTCGGTGGATATCCGAAGGATGCGAAATGACTTTCAATGAAATGGGAATTCATCATATTGATGATGAATTCTGATGAGTGAACTGGGTTGATCATCTATGCCTCTCATTTTCTATTGATAACTTCAAAGCCAGGCACGACGTATTTAAATGAGATTCACTACTCTGATGATATACGGGTGTATTGCGAGAGGGCTTCAAAGTGACGTTTCATCGTGGTCCTCATTGATTTCATTATACAAGTGGTCTCGTTTACACGTCAAAAGTGATTTTCGGAAATTGATATTATCAATAATATTAATGTTGTATATTTTGGAGATGTTTATTGTTCTATAATTTCATGGCATATCTTGGGAAGCTCTGATAAAATTTAGAATTGGGTTGTTGTATGTAATTTTTTATTGATTATTCCCTAAGAACGCACGGAGAGAAAAGTTGGATAAATCTTTCCTAGAAAATCGTGGTAAATTTTACGAATTCAATGAAAAAATAGCTGTTTGTGGAGGATATTTTACGATTCGTTCTGTAAGAAAACACATCTGTGGGTGCACAAACTACCCTGCCGTACGCGTTCGATAAAAAGTCACTCTCCGTTATAGAAAAATTATACGTAATATTGAGCAATTATTAACCTTTACTGGGAAAATTTTTGATGGAATGCAGAGTATATGTTACTGTTTCGGCAGAAATAACCCTCAAATTCAGTAAATTTTCCCGGATCAACACAGAACAATTTACTATTTGTCTAGCACTCTTCTCCAGATGTAGGCTGAAAAAGTATTGAAAATCGAGTTTGCTCCATGATTACTTGACTTATTTGGTCATTTTTTTCCAACTTTTTTGTCCGTCTGGATTGGGACCATTCAGAATACAGTATGTGAGGTCACGTGATCAGCTCGAAGAAGTTTTATATGGACTAAACACTAGCTTTTGGATATTACAGACCAGCTTTGCATTTGTTCTGAATATCTTGACTCCAAATACTGCCTTCTACCTGCCCGTGGTCCGTTTTTGAGGAATAATGCGACAAAAAATTTCAAATTTTTGGGTCAAAAAATTCTAGAATTGTCCGGAACATTCTAGAGAGATTCAACGACCGGAGTAGAAATCTCATCGGGTTTAAGTGAGGTCCCGGAAGGGTACACCCGACGGGATCGTCGGATCCTGATGAGGTGAACCTTATCGGAACCCTAATACAACGTCACGCAGCTCCCCGATAAAGAGGTCATCCGGGATCCCCGATGAAAACCTGATGATGTTTTCCAGGGTTAATTAAGGGGAGATCGCGGTGAATTTTAAAACTTTTCGCTCGGTCTTAAGAGACCAATAGGACGACTTTTGGTATATGAAGGGATATATTCAGGGATCGGAACAATCATCAATTTCAAAATAACTTAAATTTAGCTTATGTTTAACTGATAATATTACCCAACAATTTTCAATTACCAAATTCATCATCAATCGAATATTCAAATTCTGACATAATCTATCAACCAGTAATCGTGTCAGAAGATTGACCATTACGTGTCTAATCGAAAAAAAAACCTTGTATGAAATTTAGAATTATTCACTCAATAGTTAATTGAAAATTTAAATTATGAATTAATTTATTATTTTCAAATTTCAATTAAGATGAATTAAAAAAAAAAAATTTTTTTCTCGTATACCCGGTCGGCTCTTTAAGATTTGTTCCCTTCGTACCCCGAACCCTCTGTACCGCATTCGCCGATAGACAAGGGAAAACCTCATTTGAGGGAAAAACCTGCCCAGGTACAGTCGTCTCTTGCGAGACTCCCGCTCGACAATTAAACCGTAAGATTTAGAGTGTCACAAATTTTGACCCCCCCCCAGCCGGGAATCGAACCCGGGTCTCCCGCATGCCAATCCCACACTCTAACCACACAGCCGTCGCCGTCGGTCAATTAAGATAAAATAACCATAGTAATAGAAAGGCGCAAATTCTAATAATATTACAAATGTAATTGTTATTTTCGTCGCTTCGACCCGGTTAGGGTATACTGCGATGATGATCAAGACTTTAAATGGTTAGATCGCACCATTCTATCCGGCCGGGATTTGAACTCGGAACCTTTCGCATGTGAGGCAGCGAAATTACCCATTGCGCCAAGCCACTAGGGGGCTACAAATGTAATGATTGTCGACCGATCGCTGAATATATTAATAAAGAAGAAACTAAAAAATATATCCCTTCATATACCAAAAATCGTTCAATAGTTCTTGAGGTTTCAATCGAAAGGAATATAAAAAGAAGCATGGGAAGTCTAATTGTGAAAAAAAATACGTCCCCTAGCCGGTATCCCAACCCATGTTTTTTTTCTTGTCCAACACTACCACTCGGTTATCGCACCATTTCTGGAAATATTATTTCAATGTCTTTTATATAAGCAACGCGCCATGTATTTCACACATATCTTCATCATAATGAACTGCGGTATTATCGATAATCATGACCACCATTATCGATGGATGACTGAGTGATTATACTGTTGAAAATTTTCCACTGAAATTTCCGGTAAGGGTCTTGGAAATTTCCAACAAGTAACATATTCACTGAAATTTCAAGGAATTGACCATGCATAATTTCATGGAAAAACCAGTGGGAACCGTAAATTTCAGTTTAATTATTTTGAGAAAATTACTAAAAAATCAGAAAAATTTATAGAAATCTCCCCTTGAATTCCAGATTCCTTTGAATTTTTAGGGACTTGTTAAAGAATTCAAGAGAATGTAGCCGAGAATATTGATTTTCACTTGAAAATTCATGTGAATTGCGAAATTTTTGTCTTTCTGCCGCTAAAAAAATTGGAACTTTACTTTTTTTTTCTATTTCAGACATTTTAAACCCTTTGATTTACTCCGCCATCTACCCTCTACCTAACCTTGAGGCTGTGTGGCCGACTTGCTACACTGTACCGCATTTGCTCCCGCGAGAGACGGGGGGAAACCACAGAAAACCTCCGTCGGTACAATCGATTCCTCTATTTGGAATCTCCCGCTGGTCCAGAGCCGTGGTGAGACGGACCCCACCAGAATCCGCCCCAGGCGAGCCCCTTAGCCCCCTTTATCGGAAGTTAAGGGTCCCCCTCAGTTGGGATCCGAAAGCCCAGCCCACCCTTTCGAGCCCCCAACCCCTGTTTCCAGACGTTAAAAAACCTGACCGGACTGGCATTCGAACCCACGACCTCCTAGTGGCCAAGCCGAACTAACCATTTAGCCACCGCGACCATTGGACGTCGGTGGAACTTTACTTGAAGCTTGAAATTTCATTGACTTATTCCCCTTAAATCGAATTCAAAGTCTTTTTCCGGAAAATTTAGCTAAATTTTTTTACAGTGGTTCCAGTGATTCTCTAAGGATATCCAAGTTCCTTAACCATTTCCATGCGGCAATCATTTTCTGCATTTGTAAATAAACATCGGAGCTCCTATTTAATCGTTTGTGATCCTAGATCCTAAATGTGATTTTTATTTTGAACCATTAAAAAGCACGTGACAATTTTTTTGAGAATTTGAGACAAATGATTCAAAATCATATAAAATTTGAAGCTTATTTGAATCTGATGAATCATCTAATATGTCCTATCAAGTTTGATATTTTTCATAGCTTTCACTTATCAGGAGAACCTGATGATGACCTGGTCATTTTCCGAGCAGGTTTACCCTATTTGATTCGAAATGATTTTCGTTGGGAGAAATCCACGATGTCCCGACTACTTCTCGATCCGGTTTTCCCTTTTTCACTTGAAATGAGATTACCCTAGTCATCTCCCGATGGTGCACTCATCAGACTCTACTCTACACTCTACTCCGACGAAATTTCTACTCGGGTAATGTTGGAACATTTCAAAAGTATTTTATTATCCGACATTGAAGGATATTCCAAATATGATAAAGCAAGATTTTTTGTCAGAGGATGATGAGTAAATTTGCAAAAATTATTCCTCAGTAATGTGTCAATGTTGAATAAATAATGTTATTGAAAGAGATAATAAAACTGAAATAAAACATGCATAAATATTTTTAAGAAATTTAAATAAATCCAAATCCATTTACATACCATCTTCTTTACACAAATCAACTGAAATACATTAGGGTTCATTGTAAAATACTGTCCTAGCATAAAGTAAACGTACTTAATAAATTTATGATAATAATGGAGGGAAGAGTGATAGTCAAATGATATTGATAAAAATGATTGATAGATTGCTATTTTTAAAACCGGGGCTCACAGAGTGAACAATAGTTCGACTACGGAAATAATGCCAGGGAGGCTGACGTCTGTCGTGGGATTTGCAACCCCTGCATTACTAAGTCCTATTCAACTCGGATGTCTATTTATAGATGGAAAGAACAATAGAGAAAAAAGAGTTACGGAGAATCATTTTAGTGAATCTAAATAATTTACTCTACTATCTGTGGGAGCACGTCTAAAAAACTTCGTCAAAAAAACCTGGTTAATTCAACTTTAATTAGTCAAATTAAACTTCCGTTACTAAATCCTTCCGGTTATCTTGTCGTTTCTAAGAATATAAGTAAAATCTGTGTTTGTGTATGGGATTCTAGAGAGTTGTTATCTCTTTTGTTTTGGTTCATTGTGAAAAGAATAATCGATATTTCTCTTTTTTTTTTTTATATTCCGGCCCTTTCTGCCCTCTGATTGGCTAATCGGCCCTATCCAACCCTATGCATGCGGCTGTGGATTCTACACTGCACCGCATTCGCCCTCCTATAGAACATAGGAGTAGCATGGGAAACCACAGAAAACCCATGCCGGTACAGGCGGTCACTGTATTAGCGACCTCCCCCGCTCGTCGGAGCCACCGGTTGAAAAACTCAGATCCACGGGGAATCGAACTCACAACCTTTCGCACACTAGGCTCGCACCTAGCCGCTTCGGCCACCGACGTCGGTTAGATATTTCTCATTTATTTCATTGAAATGGTATTTTCTGGAGAGGGAGAACTACTCTGAGGTATTTGAGAGGGATTGCTTCGAATGTTGTGCTTTAAATGACTCATCATTGGCTGTATTTTGTTGCGTTGTGGATGTAAATGGTTGTATTATTTATTCCCCCATGCTTATGGACTTATGTTAAATCACTTGTTATTGAGCCTCGATGTTGTCTACCGTGGAGATGATGTTTGCAAATTTAATTTTGTTTGTTCTTTGTTTGTTCTTTTTTCATTTTGTTATTTTCGTTCGTGGGTATTGATTGAAGTGTTCTCAATGCTCTATTCTTGTTTTATTGCTTCCGAATGGAAGCATTGTAATCGTTTGTAAAATTTATGTTTTGGATTTTTCGTGTTATATCGACCCATTATGATGCAAAAAGTCCGAAAATGCAAATTTTTAAACCAATTTTTCTTCGATTGTTCGCTAATGAATCGATGGAATTAAATCTTTTTTTCCTTAAATGTAGGTATTGTTGAACCCTATCAATGGCTATTAATTAAAATTGAATTCATTTTAGTACATTAGAGTACAAGGGGACAAATTTCGTTTTCAACGAATGTGTAGTTTACAGGCCGAGCCGAAGGCGAGGTCTGTACACACATTCGTTGAAAACGAAATTTATTACCGAGTGCTCTATAATATTTTATGTCAAGTCGTGCAGAAGTCGAGTTTTGAGCAGGCTGCGCGAAGCGCAGCGTGCGATAAACTTGACTTATTGCACGGCGCGACATAAATTAATTTTTAGAATTTTTAAAATTTTTCAAAAATTGTTTTGTTCTGCATTGATTAAATGATGGTTTAATAGTATATTGTCCATCAAGGACGGAAAGTCATGTTTCCCCCGCCCGAGGTGCATATGCTATTTTTTACCACGTCTGCAAAGAAAAGTTTGTATTTTGCTTTCTGGCGAGCGGGAGCGAAGTGAATACTTTCCGCTCAAGGGTGGAATGTTGGTCCCGAGGGAGGAAAGTAATCAGTACTTTCCGCCCGAGGGAGCAACTTTGCACCCTAGAGCAGAAAGTACTGACTTTCTTCCCGCTTATCAGGGAGTAAAGTACGAACTTTCCTTCCGCTCATGAAAGAGCACACAGGCGTTTTAAAAAACTGCATGTATACCTCGGGCGGAAATTCTTGACTTTCCGCCCTTCATGCACAATATACTAATGTGGATGTCCGTTTGACCAAGTTCGAAAATAAATAGCAATAATCGTTATTTTGATTTATTTGAACATTTGGGAAAATTCTGTATTTTTTGAAAATCAGAATTCCCAGGATATCTTTGGATATCATCCTTCAAATGAAGACAATCATAGCTTAAAATGTTTGTTTTAATGACATTAAGTGGAAATAAAAAGATGATTACGATAGCTATATTGGTGGGTTTGATTTTTACGATGATTGTTGAAAATTTCGAATTTTTCATGAATTTCTCTGAAAGTGAGCTTTCTGGCGGTTTCTTCAAATGTGATGTTTCAAATTGATTCAAGTATGTGTAAATAAAAATTCTCTATTAACATTTTATCGAAGGGCTGAGGAGAGAGAGAACTGTAAAAAAGACAATTGGTTGTATCGAAAAAAGGGATAATAAGAATAATGATGCTGATAACATTCAACCAAGTTAAAAATCTGATAAAATTAGTTAAAAATAAATCGTATTCATTTTAATAAAATGAAAAAACAATGAATTATATACTATAGAAGAAAATGATGTGCGAAATAACCATTCGGAAGCATATTGCTAATTAATTAGCAAAAGTAACTATACTATATTCAATACAACAGCCATTTCCGACTTGTTTGCATTATTTTTCTGGAGTTTTTGAAAGTTCTTCAATGCTCAAATTGTTCTAGTTTTTTTCTTCAAGTGTTTTTAGTTACCAAGTTGTTTTGACGAAATTTTTTTTAACGGGGCCGGTATCTGCGTTATTCTGAGCCGGGCTATTTTGACGAAAAACGAATGTTACTTCGAAATTTTAGTGGGATGTAAAAACTCTACATTTATGATGCAGTGAACTTTTATGTGAAGTAATCAAACGAGACTAATGAAGAGGTGGGCTGCATTAACGGAAAAAATATCAATCTCATTGAGTTTTTCATGTATAAAAAAGTTGTCGGTTAATCTTCACATTTCGTGTTTTTCTATAATGAAGATCATGAATCTTCAATAAAAATCAATATTTCTTCTACAGAAATAATCTCAATCGGAACATCGGAATAAATGGACATGAAATATACACATATTCAGATTAATACGAAAACAACGAATGCTCAAGACACTCATTCAGGGCCTCGAGCCTGAGCGGGATACAAATTAATCATCGCTGCTGGATTAAAACTAGCAAAATCGAAACGCCACATCGAGACCCATTGAGATAGAAACGATTCAATAAGTGCATCAGCTGCCAAATTACTAACAAAGCAAACGGGACATTTTCCTAAAAATAACTTGGTATTTATCCACCAAAATCAATTTAGGCATCGCACATTGAAAAACCTAGTAACTGAACTGCCAATAATTTCCGTTTCATAGAGGAAGGACTGTGAAAACCGTTGGAACTGTTTTGTACTTTCCTCCCATCATTTTTTTCTGAATAGAATATTATTGCCCCTTCGCAGCGGACGTTTGTCTGCTGACGCGAGTTTTTTTCATGGTTATTGGGTATTTACCCTGACGATGTCTCTAACAACTGTTGCCCGCACAAAATGTAACTGGACCGCACGCCAATTGCTGTTAGTTCTTTTGTAAACTTGTTCAATTTCGAAGGGAATACCCGAGGCAAGAAAGAACAAAAATTGATATTGATAACAGATGCCTCAATATCTATTAACGAAGTGAATGAAAATCTTTGGTGTTCATCATGTTTAAATTGGAACACTGTCGAGCAAGCACGCACCTCCATCAAACTCATCGTGTGCCTTGGTTCCATCGGAATGAAGATTAAATTTCAGTATTTTCATTCAATTTCTTCCTTTCTCATTATATCAACTTTCAAAATAACATTGGAAGCAACTAAGTACATTGACAGTCAACAGCTAACGTCTACATTGACGAACGTCATTGACGCAACGTAGTGTGGCTCACCTTTCCAAGTGGAGTGGATGGTTGACCCGGTGGTGCTGGGTCCTTTATGTAAATATTCCATGTAGCAACGCTGTTGATGGCCTTGTCCGCCGCATAACATCGCCAAAGACATTGGATCAACATTGCTGCCGCTGGTATCTGACGGTTGAAGTGTTTCTGACGTTGTTTTTGTTGGACTTTGAGTGCGAAACCAGAACCAAGGATACCCTGCGGTATGTTTTCATGTCATTGAGTTTAATTTTGTTGAAAGTTTTTTTGATGACGAGGGGGTCGCACTGCTTTTTTAAGCACGACAAGTATTTGATGGGAATTTTTTTTTCAATTTTTTCTTCAAATTTCGTTTTTTCTTTGAATTTTTCCCAATTTTTCATTTTTCAATTTGAAAATTCATTATTCATGGTCCGTAAATGGTCAGCCATTTACGGACCATAAATAATGGATTTTAGAATTAAAAAACTGAAAAATGAGAATTTGGAAAAAAAAATTCAAAACGAAATTTGAAAAAAATTATTTTTGGATAGAATAGATCTGAGTCCCAGTCTAATTTTTTAATGTTTTGTAAAAATAGTCACTTTCGGTAAGGAAAGAAATAAATCTTCAAACGAGATGGGGGAATGGGGTACCACGCACAATTTTCAAGTATTTTGACGATTTTAAAGCATTTCCGACGATGGGATTGGCACTATGCTCAATCGAAAGAACGGGAAATTTCCGCCGGAAAAACTCACAAAATTCAAAAATTTACGTTGTAGGCGTCACAAAATTTGGAAAAAATTGAAAATTTTTTTTGATGCCTTTTAAATGATATAAAAGGAATATAAGAAGCTTCAACAAAATCAAATTTTTGAAGGTAGAACACCATACCAATAATTCGCGAATACACCCATACAACCGTTCATACAAAGTTTTCGAGATATTACGGTTTTTCTAATTTTTCATAAAGAAAACTTTATAATTACGCTAGCTTATGCAAAAATCAAGATATCAACTTGTTTTCCCATTGAATTTCTTCATATATGAGAAAAATATCTTCATGTGAACTGGAAACAAATTCTAAGATCTTATAACACTCATAGAAGTACCCCAAATATACTATCAAAGCAATCGAAGCTGATATTTTAAGCATTGAAGCGAACTTCTTCACTCATCCGGCTAATCAACCTAAGACATGACGTACGAAAATTTCTATAAAGTTTGGGCGTCGGTAGTACCGGGCTTACTTTGAATTTAAGACTTGAAATGAGCCTATCAATGCGTATATTTACCCGTTTCGTACAGTTCTCAAAAGTTTTAAGCCCTCTGACATACCCAGCGCTAACCGAGTCTTCTATTTCAAATTTCAGGCCGGATATGCACAGGCTTTAAAACTATCTTCGATGCTTGGGAAAATTGTGGGAAAGTTTCAGACACATGTGATTTATGAGTGAAATCAGGTTATTGAAATTCACATAGGTGGGAGTTATCGGAACTTACCGCTGGAAGTGCGAAGAACGATATGGCAAATACACTGAAACAGGAGGCTACTATTTTTCCCATCCACGTTTGGGGTACTGTGTCACCGTAGCCTATTGTTGTTACTGTGATCTAAAACAATGATATGTGAATTTAATCAATGAGACATCATAGCAAAAATTTTGTAGACAAAGCAAGAGCAGTTATTACTAGTAATCCCATTAGTTTTCGATTCTTATAAAAAATTTCTGCGTCTTCGTGGACATTCTTATCTCTCGATCACACGCTCAATGAGCGTAACGCCTAAACTTTATTTCTGAACGTCATTTCTCAATGTTATTTCCGACCATTATGTCCAATCCTCATTTCTGGCTCTAATTTAGTGATGCCGCGAGACATTTCACGAGACATCACGAGACAATACTTTGCTATTGTCTCGGTTTCAATGAACACGAAAATTTTTGGTCTCGTTTCAGTCTTGAAATGCGCAGTATCGACTCCTCTCGTGATGACTCCGAGTCAATTTATCTCATCTCGGTTTCCAGTTTTTCGCGAGTTTTATCTGTAGAGAACCAAGACAAAAACCGAGATTTTAGATTAAAAATTACGAAAAACTTGAGACTGAGATGAGATGTATGGACTCGGAGTCATCACGAGAGGAGTCGATACTACATATTTCGCGACTGGGACGGGAGCAAAGATTTTCATGTTCATTGAGACCGAGATTATCGCTCCAAAATTTGCTCTCGTAAAGTGTCTCGCGGCATCACTACTCTAATTACTAAACCGTATTCCTGACTCTCGTGGCCCTTAGTTTTGACTCTTATTTCTGGTCCAAATTTTTTATCCTCACTTCTGACCATGTGTCCATTATCTTTCACCTTTGATTTTAACCCTTATTATTGTTTTACCCTTATTTAGGTTGTTTATGAGTCCAGTTATACCTGACCGTACTTAACCCTCGATCACTCGCTCAATGAGCGCGACGCCGTCTGTTTTCATTTTTTTATATTTTAGCGTGTTTCTCGACGGTCAAAAATTCTGAAAAATTTAGAATTCCTAGTTCAATCCTTTTATTGAGCGTTGACGTTGTCCGTTTTTTTCTCGAGAAATCTGTTTAGCTAAAAAAAGAAAAGAAACTTCGAACGGACAGAAAAGCGGTGCCGCGCCGCCCGGTGCGAGTGAATCCCTGTCGACCCCACGAGCGCCAGTGTTGCTTCATTTACTGCCACACTTGGAATGCACGCATAAGGGTAAGCGCCAATGTGGCAACAGCGCGCTCGGTTTTTACGTTTGATCACGTTTTTTTAATCAGTGTTTAGAAATCACGCCGAAAAATTTATACTTAACCAATTTTTATTGCTATGAAAAAAAATCTGAAAGTTTTTTACCTGCAAGACATTTTTTATATTGATCTTAATGAACTTCACTCATGAAGCAACATTACGTATGATATAAGAAGATACGCTAAAAGCAGAAAATTTTGAAAAAGAAACCACTCACCACACCCCACCATAACGCATCAGCATAACTCGAGAAATCGGTTTTTCCATCAGGCCCAACGGCGTCTTTCTCAGCAAGGTACACAAAATAACTGCTGAAAATAAGACCGAGGAAACCGATGTACAGAGTTGTTATCAATTCCTGCAATAGAAACACCGAATGAAAAAAAGATTGTCCTAAAAATCTGAAAGAAAGGATCTAAAACCGATAATTTTATCTAATATTTTAGTGTCTGATTCTCGGGTAAACAGGTCAATTTCTGGACGTGGATTAGTTTCTGGACGATTTCAACTTGCATTGAATATTCCATAAATACACTGAAAATTGTACTGATTATTTCACCTTTTAATAATATTACTCGTGTATAATCATGTGATCAGTTATATTTTCTATTTCCCTGTTTACCCTACTCTCAGATTTTGAGGTTCATTTTGCGCTCACCTGTCGATGAATGAAGACAACAGACCCAAGTAGTCGCCAAGTGCCGCCCTGCCGATCGACATGAAGCATTCGCAGAATCTGTAGAAACCGAATACCACGAATTGCGGACGTGGCAAATACTTGTCCATTGCTTCCCACTGACAGCACCACCATGGATGCAACGACTACGATTAAATCTGAAATGATAATGTTCCATTGTGAGCGACGAATATTGAACTTTCCAATGAACCCATAACTAGTTTCAATTTCATGGATATTTGAGCGAATAGAATCTCTATCAAATTGTGGATTGATTTAGTTTTGGCCCCGGGTGAGCAATTCTTTCTTCACTTTATCCGAGATGTACCACAACTGGCAAGAGGAAGTTATAAAACTTTTGAAATCTCTGTCGAGACGAGTGAGATAACTCTTGGATGTCGTCAGGCTGCTGCTCGGTTTCCTTTTCACGCGCTTCTGGGATTCTGTCTTCTGTATTCCCGAGGGATGAACGAAATCGCGGTATTCTCCCTCGACTGGCACTTTGTCGTATTGTCTAAAGACTTGGTGCAGATTTGCCATTGATTGAGGATTTGAAAAGAGGGCGGACAACTTTTTGGGAGATTTGGTTCACTGTTTTATTCACTGTTACTAGTCTGTTGGTGCGCTCTCGCACCGCTCTACACTGATAGAAAAGGTGGAACGATGCATTTGCACCAAACGAGGCTTCTTAACTGTTACCGCGATTCGTTAATAGTTAACGAATCGTGGTAATAGTTAAAGTCTCGTGTGGTTCGACTAAACCGTTCTATCAGTGTTTGACGTAAGAATAGACCAATGAGAGATGATAGACTCAGTCATGAGGGTAACAGGCTTAGAGATTTTAAAATGACCGTAATTTTTTTCGCGTCATATGAAAAATTTATGACCGTCATATGACAGCCATAAGACGTCATTTTTAACTTCCCGACCCGAAGTTGAGGAGGAAGTTATTGTAATGACCCCGAAAATCGATTGTGGAAATGTCATGAGTTCTCGATGTTTCATGACCCCTAGAAACCCTCCCGAGACTTTTTAGAAACTGGTCTGTATGTGTGAATGTGTGTGTGTGTGTGTGTGTGCGTGTGTCTGTGTATGTGACCAATGTTTTGTGCTACGATTTCTCTCGAACAAACGATGGGATTCAATTTTTTTTTCACGCAATCGATGTGTTTTCATGTAGCGACCAACAACCCAGTCGAAATTTTTTGTCATAATTTAACTACTATTATTTCCGCTGGTGAGAAAAACGTCGCTCACTGTTGAAAAGCTTCCCCTGATATTTCCGGTAAGAGCGTTAGAAATTTCTAATAACTAACATTTTCACTGAAATTTCAAGGAATTTTTTCGTTGAACATTCATAATTTCATCGAAAAATCCGTGAAAATGTAAATTTCAGTTCAATTATTCCGGGGAAATGAATGAAAAAGCAGAAAAATTCAGAGGATCTCTCCTTAAATTCCCGATTCCTCAGAATTTTCAGGGAGTTCCTTCATAGACTCCTGAAATTCCAAGAATTGTAAAGGAATTCCCTGAAAATTCAAAGGAATTCAGCAGTGAATATTCATTTTCACTGGGAAAATTCATGTAAATTGTGGAGTTTCCATCTTTCTGTCGCTCAAAAACGGGACTTTACTTGACTGTTTAGAGACACTTGAAAATTCATTGACTCTTTCCCCTTAAATCGAAGTCAACTTATAACAGTGCAAAAATGCCATAAAATATATTAATCTATTGGACAAAATTTAAAACTAGCTACAGAAACTAGATATCGAGAAAATAAATACAACGATGATGAAACGAATGGGAATCATTATGTGTGGCCCCAGTTCTCCTTGTTGTACTACATAATGACATGAAAAATTGCAAATGATTTTATTGAAAGGCCAGGAAAATTTCACCCTCACAATAAAAAAATCTACACTCCCACACGTATTTTTGGATCAGCTTTTATCAAGGAAAAATTGTCCTTCGGCGAATGCGGTACAGGGGGTTGGAGGGTGGGAAGGGAACAAATCGTAAAGACCCAAAAGGGTATACGAGAAGAAAAAAATTTTAAAAATTTATAAATTTACCTATAATACAAATGGGTTTGCGTATGAATCGCAAACGACCGCAGCATCCCATGTACTTTGATCTGCAGCCGGCGCTCCATAGCCTCACTAAGTACTCGAATCCAAAAAAAAACACCAAACATATTTCCTGGAAAATAAACATGAAATGTTTATCATTTGAAGTTCCTGATTATACATATCAATTGTTATGAATGAATTAAGCTCTGTATAATGTACGATGATTGATTTTTCAGATGAAAAGTTCGAAGTGTGACGTCAGAATTAGGAGAAAATTAAAAATTTCATGACGATGTCTTAATTTTGTACCGGAGTGACGTAAATTCAAGAAATCGAGGGGATCAATAGCACAGAATGTCTCATTACCCCGTCTATATATAAATTTTTTCCCCGTCCTCTCTAATTTCCTTCGATTGCCACTGTCCCATCTCTTTTTACCTTTTTTCTGTTCCCTCATATCCCGAATGGACTCCACGTTAATGTTTTCTCTCGGTGGTGAATTGGGATCGATCGATGAATCAAATCTCCACTGAACACAAATCGCGGGAAAAAAATTGAAGCAATGAGACTCCGGGGGCCATTCGGCTTCCTCTCTTGTTCCCATTCCATTCTCTCGCACAACTGCAGAACTGGCAGTATTACGCTTCAAGAAAAATCTCTCCTCTACTTTTTTATTTTATCGTTGGATTCACGTGATTAGGTCGTCAGACGCCATCGGGGAATATCCGAGGAGGGATTTTTCGAATGGTCATCAGGCCATTTTCATGTTTTTCATTTCATCTGAAGCGGGCTAATGGCAAGAGAAGAAAAATTACTTTCTTAATCTGCTTGGGGGAGGATTTACTCCTCGGGCTTCAATGAGAAAGAATGGCTTTGAAATTACGAATATTATTCCTAGTTTAAGAACATTTCCGAATAGCAATTTGATATCGGGAGAACTGTTGAATATTTCACATACGAAAAAAGTTCATAGAAAAATCGGGGACATTTCTTAGAAAATTCTAGCCGATTTTCATCAATTCTATTACTCTTCCGTTTATTTTTGCGCATTTTCAAAGGGAAAATGTTCAAGAGAAAATATTTTATTATTCATATTTCTTTCCTACCACCATTACGGTTTTATAGGCCCCTCATTCGTCTACCTTGTCTCTTCCACTTCTCTCTTCTGATTTTTATCTGCATTACCATGGGCCGTCTTACTCTTAACCCCTATTCGGCCTAGGACTGCATGGGAAATCATGGAAAACCCCAGTCGTACAGCCGGCCGATTGTGCAGAGCCCTAATGTGCCCTTCTGTCACACTGACTAGAGGGACACATTAGGCTACTAAACCGTGCCTACCTTCCGAAATGTTTGGGCGAGGGTGTTCCTAAGCGGTCACCCATCCAAGTGCTAACCGCGCTAACCCACGTACGAAATGCCAGTGTTGTAGAAACGGGCCAAGCCTGGCACAAGCCTGGGCTTGCCAAGTCTGGGCGCCCAGGCTTCGACCGAGGTTCGGCCATACCTGGGGACCAGGGCTTGAGTCTCGGGGGAAGGGCGGGTAACCGAGCCTTGGTTGATAGATCTGGCCCAGCCTTGGCCGGACATTGGCATGCCGGACCTCGATAACCAAGCCTCAGCCAGCGGTGGCCCGGAGCTTGGTCATTGGGCTCCAGCCGTTGGTGTAATTGTAAGGGTTAAGTCGTAAGGGTGAGATGATGAGAATGGAATCATAGGGGTGGAATCATAAGGGTAAAATCTGAAGAGTAAAATTGTAAGGGTCAAATCGCAATAATGGAAAGGGGCGAAAAAATCATAAGACTGACATTCTGAGGGTTGAATGGTAAGGGTGGAAACTTGAGGGTAAAATATTAAGGGTGTAATCGTAAAAAAATGGTGACATTGTAGGTGTTGAAGTCACATGTTACTCGCTAATTATTACGAAAAGAAGAAGAATCGTCATTCAGCAGTAATCCTAATTGTTACAATTATAATTGTAATTAATAATTATAATTATTATTATTCATTATTGAATTAATTTACCGATTAAACTGTAGTTGAATCACTTAATATTTCTATCAACTGAATAATAAAACATTCAAGTCGAAAAAAACCGAGATGGAATTAATATGGAAGATTTGAAGTAGAGGTTTTACGAATTGCGCGGTAGACTAGTGGTTAGGGCGTCGGATTAGTAGTCGTGAGGTCGTGGGTTCGAGCCCACGTTAGGGGGTAATATTTTAAGTTAACAAAATCGGTTTTTCAGCGATGATTGCGTTAGGGTTTGGTAGGTAGGGCACAATCAATACTAAAAATCATCCTAAAAAATGTTAATTATTTTGTTTTTGTTATTATTGATAATTGCCATGAACAGTTTGGCAGCCAGTGCGGCACCAGTCGCATGCCGGTATTGATTTTTTTTCCTCGTTGAACCTATTACGAATGCTGAGGAGTAATATTAAATTACTTGTATTTCAATCACCCATATTATCATATTCATGTAATTAAGTAATGTTTAATTGAGCCTGGCCAACGACTGGCAACCAACGCTGGGCCGAGATGGGCGCCCAGACCTGGCCCGATGTTATCATTCCAGGTTTCAACCAAGTCCGGCGCGGTCCCGGTTGAGGAACGGGTCCCGAAGTTCGGCAGGCCGGCCACCGGGCTTGGGCCAAGCTCGGCCCATTCGTTTTTTCGTACGTGGGATAAACCCAGCTGCACTCGGATGTCCGCCGGAGCAACACCTAATTCACCCAACCAGTACGGTCGGCTTCAAAAGAAAATATTCTATAGAGGAAAATCAATAGATTCTGATCTTTCTGTGAAACTTCTTCTGTTGAGATATGTCTTGTAGTAATTACTTGTCATAAATTTGTCGTGTTTTGTTCAGTTAATTATTCTATTCCTTTATTTAAAAATTCAAGCAGAAAACTGGGGAACTGTGAGCCGAGGAATTTCTATAAGAACAATCTCAGTAGACATAAAGATAAGGATCTAGAAAATAAAAATTGCATTAGTTTAGGCATAGGAAAAAATGTGCTAAATTTTGTCGTTCCAGGATGAAACAAATTATCGCTATATACAAGCTGTTTCCAAAGAAAAATTAGTAATCCTTGTGGCAGCAATGATGCACTCAGCTGTTATGTTCCTTTCCATAGCAAAATCTATCATCACAATTCCATTCGTATTTGCTGCGCTTGCCCTCCACGATTCCTAACCTCGACATTGTCGCTATTCCAAGTCGCGCACGGTTAATTCCTATTTTTCATGTGTTTTTTAATTATTCCTTCTAAACAATTCTCCTAGACGACTTTGATTTTTTTCAAGGTCCTTTATAAAACCTCCACCCAAGTACGAAATTTCAGGAAAATGAAGACTTTCTTTCTATTTTTAATATTTTTTTTCAAATTCTCATAGGAGCCCGTGTCAAAATGCAGTTTTTAAAAAACCTGTGTTTCACCCATTCTCATAGGCTGTCTGGGATTTTGCATAGGGGTTTTGAAAAAATCAAAGAATGTATAAAACAGGGATGGGCAATAATATTAGATTTCGGCAATATTAAGAAGGATTATCTCACTATATTGTAGAATTTAATAACTAAGTTTTTGTATTATTCAAATAATCGTCAATCTTCATACCTCAATTATCAGTTAATAGATTATTTCAAAATTTGAATGTGGAAATTGATGGTTAATTTAATATTAAAAATTTTCAAGATTTATGTTAAAAATTGACATCTTTATGGTATAACGATAATTATGATTGATGGATATGCCTACCCCTGGTATAAAAAAATCATCAATTTCTAAACTTTTTTTCGACCCCCCCCCCAGCCCACGCCATAAATACCTTAAATTTGGGCGATTACAAAGTGTCTATTGTGAAGCAAAATTGAAAAATAGTGAAGGGTATTCATTCAAAGCCATATGTAACATAATCTGCTCATAACTCAACATAATTGCAATATTTGGAGATGGACATGGGCCATTTGAGAATGACTGGCCTGGAGAAATACACTGTTAAAAAATTAATTCTTCTCCCAAGAAAATGATTCTTTGGTAAAAGTAATTCAGTAGTGAAGCGGTAAACCGGGTTAAGTTGATTTTGACTATTGGCCAGTTTTTGACGAATATCTCGGAATCTAAAAGAGATAAAAATTTTGTTGTCATGACCTTTTTTGTAGAGCCAATTGAGGGTTACAAAAAAGGTCATGGGAAAATTCTGCCATCTCTCTTAGATTCCGAGATATTCATCAAAAACTGACCCAAAGTCAAAATCGACTTAAGTCGGTTTACCGCTTCGCTACTGAATTGTTTTTCTCGGTGTAGACATCTATTTTTTGTCCAGTATGTGAGCAGAATTGTACACTAATAGACTGAATCAATGAAATTTCCAATCTTTTAAGAATATTCAGTCTGATTTCATTTGTCTGGATAAACTAACGAAATGCGTTTCATTCCAGTCTACTGCACAAAAAAATGAGTGTATATATTTACTGTCGAGATTTTGGTTTTAATTTAAAAGTACATACTGTCGAGATAATTCCGAATGAAATCCTGCAATATAGTAATCAATTAATCAGTCAATTAATCGCCTTCAAATAATCCGGAATGACTTAGTAAATAATAATCAACTGTTAACACCTGAGCCTCACAACGCGTGAGCTCCATCTCACCCATCGATAACATCAATGAATAACTATCAATTAATCGAGAATAGCCGAAGTGGATGTGTGATTGATGGTTCGCTAATCTAGTTGCGTTATTCAAGCATGGATAATGCACGTATGTGTCCCGTGAAGTTCATTGGATTAACTTCAGCTGTCTAGTGCGCGCCCGTTGAATGTACGTCCAGCGTACACATCCCCGAAATATCGAGCGGAACAGACATTACGAATAATTTCAAGAGAGAATGTATAAGATAGCAACACACGATAAGCATTTTGCTGAGGTAATGCCGGTTCAACTTAACGTGGAGAACAGTTGATTAATTAGCGCGGATTTCCGATGTTTTTATCTTTTGCGTGGGTACTAGAATGCAAGATATCCAACGAGTTTATGCATCTACCAAACATGCACACGGAAAACACATATTTTTGAATCACGAATGTACAGTGAGAAAATAGTTATTTTCATCACAAGGTCCACAAAGTATTTTCTGACGAATGTGGCTTTGTAGGTCGAGCCGAAGGCGAGGCCTATAATCACATTCGTCAGAAAATACTTTTGGACCGTGTGATGAATGCAATTTGTCGTCAGAAGGCCCGTAAACTGCGATCTAACCGAGCGAAGCGAGGTTAGAATCGCGGTTTACCGGGCCTTCTCACGAAAAAATTTGTTCTGTCGAAAACTTATATGTTACCCTGAAGAAATCTTTTGTCGTGTTGAATTAATTTAGTTTTGGACAAACGAAAAAGTTTCCACCAAAGACGATAATCTTCAAAGCAGTAATTGTTCTCGTGAAACATTTATTAGTCTTTCAGGGAAATGCATTCGTTCTGCAAAGAATTATATAAGGCTCCGTTTTTATAAAGTGAATTTTATTGACTGGCATCTATCTTTGTAAACACTTATAATTTCCATGGAACAAATGAAAATTGTAATTTCAAAAGGAAACTACAATTTTCTTGCCGAAAACTGAGTTATTGGGAAAACTAAATAATTTCAAGGGAACTTTTTTTCTGGAAAAAAATATTCTCTCCTCGTCAATGTATTTCTATGGTATAAACTTATGGAGTTCCCTCAGATCAAATGATCGTCGTACAATAGATTATATTTTTTTCCTGCGAACAGTTCGAATTCTTCTAGGGATATTTCTGATGGTCACGACAAAAAGTTAATTTTTGTAAAAGATGTTACATTTCCTTCTATTAAGTTGGTTAATTTCTCTCAAGTAAATCCATTCCCCTCCATCAAATACTCTCACGTGGAACATATGGTGATCGTGGTGTTTTAGCCAATTATTAGTATCCATTTGTACTTCAAGAATTCTATGTTTGTTGAGTTTCTTCACATGGTTTCATCAACTTTGGGAAATCCTAAAATTTCCTGGGCATTTTTCAAAAGTTTCATTCTATACAAAAAGTAAATTTTTTTTAGATTTTTGAGTTTTCGATTAAATTTTGCGTCACGAAAGAAATAGAAAAACATTTTTTTATTTTTAAAATTCATTTCCAACCAGTTTTCCGCTATTACGATTGAGTATGGTTTCAATTCTCTCACTCCATCAGAAATACCCCAAAATCATAAAAAAAGGAAATTTCAAAAAGGAAATTTGTCTCTCTTCCTCCATCGTAATTGCGATCTTTTTCTTTTCTTTATTTTTTTTCAAATCGATATTCTTCAGTTCCACATGATGAAGAAAATTGACTGATCAAGGAGAAGACTATAATTAAGCAAGGAGACTATTAGTTTACTGGATACAATGTCTATATTGTATTATCCTAATTTTTCTTCATGTGGGTAAAATTATCTTTATTTATTGGTTTCAAAGTCTTCGCAATTCCTGTACATTTCGTCTCGTCAATTTAGGCCTGATTAGTTTCGATTATAATATTACCAAAACAAAACAAGATTTTTTTTCATATGGATTTAAATGGAAAAAAAAAGTTATAGAATTCAATGTGTCATGAAAAGTTTTTCTTCACAACTAGTTTTTTCAAATGAATATTGAGACTATTCCGTTCGTGGCTAGTTTTCGCCCCATGCGCACTTTACGAAAGTGTAAATGGTGAAAACCGAATTCCCTCTAGTTACCCCCGTTTTACTTCTTTATCAGAATGCATTTTCTGGTACGTGCGAGAGAGTACATGGAAAATTCGTTACTAAAGTTCATGAGTCACGTGTGGTGAAATGAAATTCATTTGATAGTGATGGAATTTGTGATAATTTTAATGTAAATCTACTTACCATCCAAAACAAAGTTTCATTCGCAAAATTACTGTATTGTTCTATCGTTGACAAAACGCTAAATATGAGGCACACCAATACCACCATGAACCTGCAAACAATAAACGAAAGACAATATGAGAGAATGGATCAGTTTAATTACTCCATTAATATTAATTTATAATATGCAATCTCACTGGGGCGTTGAAGCAGATAAACTATATTTTTTATTCAATTTATTTTACGGAAAGGGACAGAACGTATTCATGTTGAACGCATCAATCAATTAATTACTTTGAAGATAATTAATAGGTGGTATTTATAGGAATGATAAATCGGATGAAAATGCCATCAATTTTTATTGAACGTGTCATAACTAATTGTAAACCAATTTTATGATACACAATGGCACCTTATCATCACAGTCATAAAAACTCGAACCCGAGTCCACTGTTGCTGACACCCTCAAGAGGGTGAGGTGCCATCAAATGTGAGCGTCGAGTTATCGATTGCATCTTCAAATGGTCAGGAATACGAGAGTATTCGAAACATCACTTTCACACGCATTTCATGTGACGACTCATTTGGATGCAGAGAAGAATCTGATGTTCGATATTGTAGAATATTATGATTCCCAAAAATAAAAATAAATTTTTGCAACACAACTCGCCCAGAACGGGTCCGAGCGTTCTGTTTACAAAAAGTGGTGAAATCACGAAAAGTGCCAAATACTGATTACATAGAGGTTTTGAATACAACTAAGGAAGACCGACGAAAAAATGGAAATTATAAAAATAAAATGATAAAAAAGAGTCAATAAAAATTCCAAGTCAACCAACTTGGCGTGCGATTTTTTAGGAGCTTGAACTTTTTGATTTTTTTAAAAATTTTATTGCAAAAATAGATTTAGTCTTTTCAAAAAAATTTATTCTCTGTGTAAACAAGAAATATAATGTCCAGCACTTTTTCTTCATTATAAGATGCTCCCATACGTATTTTACTCCCGGCAAATGCTCGTTTTATAGGAAACGAGAGATAGTAGTTTGTCGTTTTGGCTATTTAATAATCACAGACAAAAAATGAATTCTTAAATAAAATAATAATAATGATATAACACACGGAGAGAAATATTCACTAAAAATTACGTATTTTTTCCGTAATTCCGGAACGAAATGTGATTGTAGGAAATTCTACGGAACTGTCACGTAATTTTTACCTAAAATCACATTTCTCCAGAGCATTCCGTAATTTTTGCCTGAATCTCCTGTGAAAAATTACGATACCGTCACTTAAATTTTCTGAGTCGATTCCGTAATCGGTGAGCAAACTGTGAGTTCCGTAATTTTTACTGAACATTTCTCTCCGTGCAGCAAAATCTGGTACGTTAGGGACAAAATATTTTTTGATAAACTTTCCTCTACAAAAGATAATTTTCAGAATCCGCTTCAGAAAGCGTAAAAGACGCTTTCTCAACAGTAATTTACATTTAGGTTTCTCTGTGTGTAACGAAAAACCTTGGAAGACAGGAAAATTCACGCCTTGGATTTCAGGAGTTTCAGGAAATAGTCTCAGGGTTTCATCACTCCGTGGTACTGAAATCCAAAGACCAAAAGTATTAGATTCCAGTGAAATTTGTCTGAGAATCAGGAACAAAGTTCTACTTCTCAGAATTTTTACTGAACTTCTGTACACATGGTACTGGGGGCGTTTTGCCTGTATTTTTCCGGTGGTGAAAAGGAAAGGGAGGGTTGCGTTTCAAAACGGAATATTCAGCTTTATTTCACTAAGATTCATCAATTCTTCAAATTTATCATTTAAACTGATCAATGGACAACAATTTTTGATATTACTATAGTAAACCCTGCTCACCTTAGATTCTCGATTTTATATACTGAAAAAAAAACATTATAAAAAGTCGCTTTCATGAACTCGAGTTTATACGAGTATTGTGAGGTGTGATTTTGTCCCTATCTGTGAGTTAGGCTACGCTCTAAGTCATCCTCCTTCATAGGTAGGTGCTCAAAAAGATGTACGGGATGGTCCCCAATACTCCGCCTCACTTTCTCGAGGTATGGATTTTCAAAGAATTCAAGATAAACGGTATACATTCACAAATTACATTGTTTTTACCGAGTAGTGAAGTATTTAGCACACCTCATCAGTTCTTAGCGTAACCCAGGATTTACGACGAGGACGTTACTGGTGGAGAATCCCAAAAAAGAAGCGAAATAATTTGAAAATACAACAAAGTAAAAATAATAAATTAATTAAAAATTAAATTAAATGCATAAAAAAATTGAAAAATTAATTCTGAAAATTAATTGTGATTCTACACTTTGGTGATAAATTGTTCGGTATAAACTTTAGAAAAAGATAATGACTTATGAGCAGATATACATATAGTGTTACCCAATTTTTATGAAACTGTAACATTTGATTTTTTTTTATTGAGTTTTAATGTAAGCAACTGCAGCTTATTTTGCCTTCTCGCGACAAACTATAGCCAAACACCCGCAAATGGAATGATATATTATAGTCTTCCGACCGACTGTAATGGTTAGGTGGGTGAGGTGTTGCTCCGGCGAACATTCAAGCTAAGCAGCGTTGAGCTGGGTTAGTACTTGGATGGGTAACCGCTTAGGGACACCTCGCTCGCACAAAAATTGCGGGCGGTAGGTACGGTATAGCGGTCTAGTGTCTCCATCTAGTCAGTGTGACAGATGGATATATTAGAGCACTGCACAAATCGGCCGGCTGTGCGACTGGGGTTTTACATGGTTTCCCGTGCAGTCCTAGCTCGAATGGGGCACAGCTAAGAGTAAGACGGCCATGATACTGCAGATAACAATGAGAGGAAAAGAAAGGAGGGGAGGCAGGCTAGAGGAGGGGTTTCAAATCGAGAATTATTTCGATAAAACCAATGAAATAGAAAAATAAAAAAAATAAAAATATTATAGTCTTTCAGTGAATTTCAATTAACTCCCAGTATTAAAACGAAATATTCTACGATCTTGTTCATAAATTAGAAAGATTCAAACAGGGAGTCATCCAGTCGCTCTAGGCTTCTGACAAATCGCGTGGGACAATAATTCCGCAGAATGAGTCCGACTATAAATGAATCCCGTAAAGTATTCAGGGCATGAACATGAATACTTCATGAGGAAGTTACAATTTCTTGGTCAAAGAAATCGTTTTTTTTTGTCAGAAGATGATAAAACGACTAGCATTATTAAAAACTTGAATCCAGTGAATCATGAAACAGGTTTTTTCGTATTGAATGAAGACGAGATTCATGCAAAGGGGAAATCTCCAAACATTTCTGTAATATGACCGTCTCTAGCTCTTAATCTCTATGAGTTCAAAGGAAACAAATAACTTCATCTTCTTATGTTAAACTTCCTTTGTCATCTCCAGACCATTTCCTCATTTCTAAAAATAAAATTCTTCACAAGGTTAGAATTTTTAAAAAAATTGACATAACTCATGAGTCAATAACTGCGACTGCTGATAAAGCCGTTTATCTTGCGAAAGCGTTACTGGAAATGAGTTTTTTCATTGAATATGTTCATCATATGTCATCTGGATCTACTGACTTCTTGTGTGAATACTGCTATTCTTCATTTATTTATGTTGCGATGGATGTACACCTCTGTATGTTTTAAATCTTATTATTGGCTTCGACAGTTGGATTCGTCTTTCAATAAATAAATAGTTAGAGGTCGTGGGCTTCGATACCCACCCGAGTCAAATCTCGAGAACTTCAATTTTTTTCATTTCATATATGTATTTTCAATCTTTAAAAAGAATAAATAAATAAATGAATGAATAAATAAATAAATACCGACGGCGGTGGTTGTGTGGTTAGAGGGCGGGATTGGCACGCGGACGACTCGGGTTCGATTCCCGGTGGAGGTAGCTAAAATGGTTTCCAACGTTCTAATTCTCACAGTTTCATTGTCCGAGCGGTAGTCACGCAAGGGATAACTGTACCTGCTCAAGGTTTTTCCCTCAAGTCATGTTTTTCCTTGGCCCTCGGTGAATGCGGTACAGGAGGCTGGGGAATGTGAAGGATACAAATCGTAAAAGCCCTCTCTGGTCAACCAAAGAGGGTTTTTACGATTTACCTCGCCTTCGGCTCGGACGCCAACTTCACGCGAGTAAAAAACCCCATGGCACTCGTCACTTCTCTTATGTTTTAATAATTACGGCTATTCTTCAAAAAGTTAGTCAATGATTTTACTGTTCGTTTTTATCGTCAATGAGGTTCACTTTCTACGTATGATTGATTTTTTTATAATGTATTACTGAGTGTATGAAATGTAATGGATTTCACTTGTTCATTTCCGCATTAAATAATAATCAATTTTTCATGACTTGATTACTTTACATACAAGTATAATATACGCATACGCCCGATGTAGCAATTGAAATTTCAGAAGTAATTTTCTAACAGACCGTCGTTTTCTTGCGTTTAACTTATCGTGAATTAATCACATAGACCAATATATTCTCAGCTCAAGGAACTATTTTTTCGTAGCAGATCGTTTTTCTCCCACTGTAGCTTGGTTCTACTGTTGCTGACAGCCTCAAGAGTACGAAGCTGCTTCAAATATGAGACTCAAGTTATCGATTCGATCATGAAATGGTTATACTCATAGTTTAGAGAGGACTCGAAACATTTCTCTCCCCCACACCTAATCTTATGACTCGTCCAATATTTTTCTTCCTCAAATGGAACTCCTAAAAATACTCCAGAGTACAGAATCAACTTCTGCAAGTATGTCCCCGAACACTTTCACATTACCTACATGCCCCGACGATTCATCGCCGTCACTACTCGATCTCTCAACAGTATGAAAACGGAGAGGGTCGTTGTGAACTCGAGGGGTGCTCTACAACGACACACTAGATGACTTTACCATCAACCAGTGATTGGCTGACCAGTCCCTGGAGAATTCATGACAAACCCCATGGGAAATACACAGAGGAGAGGAAAAACAAGTAAAAGTTGTGTGAAACAACAAAATACTTTTTTGATGATTACCAAGGCAGAAACTGTTTCACTTGAACATACGAAATTTCCTAACGAGAATGATGAGATACTTCAGTGAATTCCGGCAACGATAGATCGTCTAAATGAAATTAACTAGAGCTATTATACTTGTTGG